CGCCGGTCTCGCGAGAGTGGGGCGGGGCGCTACGGGTCGGGAGCAGGGCCAGAAGAGTGCGAAAACCCCGTAGAGAACGAAAACCCTGTACAGAACGAAAAACCCGTACAGAAGGCACACCCGGCGGAGTTTCTGGGCAATTTAAGTGTCTGCACTGACAGGCCGTGGCAGCCAACGTTACACCGCGGTTTAAAAAAGTGGAGGGAAGGGGAGGAGCGTGGTAAAACAGACGGCACTCGTTACGTAGCAGTTCACCTGCGGTTCTGCATCGCGTTAGGCAGAGCCACGACGTCGCCGCGTCGCCGCTCTGATGTCCCACTGCAGCCCTGCTCCTCGAACCGGCTGGAAGATTCCTTCGCCGGGGAAGCAACGTGGGCGCCTGCCCCGGCAGAGCACCCCGACGCGGCGCTGGACGGGTTTCCACGGTCACGGGGGGGCTGTGATGGCCCCCGAGCCAAAAGGCGCGTGACAAATCCTCATTAGAGTTTGGGAAAGATGTTAGGAAATGAGAAGAAACCCAGTAACAGGAAATTTAAAAAGCAATTTAAAAATTAGTACCATAAAATAGGCTTTGCTGCTGGAATTGGAGCCCGTTACTTTTAGACATATCTCAAAATAGAAACCGATGCCAAATGGCTTCTCTTCTTTCATGCAGGGGTGCGTCCGCGGGCCGATCGTGTCCTTCGGGGGCTGCATCCTGCCATGTATTCCCACAGTGCTTGGTACAGCACAGCCCAAACTGGATTGGGGCCTCTGTGTGCTGTGGTTGAATTAATAACGAGCGATAAAACCAATGCAGATGCTAACGCTGTGCCGTGAAAGAGGGACTGAACATAAGACTCGCCGTGGAACTTGTCCGCAGCTGTTGTTGTCGATGCTGTCACTCCTCTTGCTCCTTTTACTGCTGTTCTGGATAAGCACCACCAGGACCAGCCGTGTTTCTGGGAGGTGCCGGCCACCTCATCCCACCTCAGAAGCTCTCCAAGATGGGAGCTGGTGCTGGAGCATCTCTTCAGGGTAGGGGCGAAGCAGAGCCGAGGTGAAACCTGAACAGGGAGGGAGCTGGGGAACAGGAGACGAATTATTCCCTCTCTGTCCGTTCACGCCAGGAAATCGGATAGGACCCGGCTGAAGCAGCTCCTGCAGACTTCCCTGGATTGGGAACTGCGTGAGCACCTCTGCGGGACAGCTGATGTGACACACGGCTCCGGCTGCAATGTCCCCTGAAGCAGCTCTGGTCCTCAGCCAGAAATCCCGCACCTCCTGACCGAGGAGGGGAAGGAGGACCACCCCGAGGGATGAGCTGGAGTGGGCCCACGTCTGAGGGGCAGGAGAGGGTAAATGGACCAGGCAGGGCTGCCCGCTTTGCCTAGCCGCCTGCCCAGTTGGGCTGGGCTGGCGAAGGACCAGGTGAGGAGGTATCATGAAAGCCACGCTGCGAGACGCGGTCCCCCCAAGGACCACCACCATTCAGCGCAGTGGCAGGCACCCTCACGACCTCGCGAGCTGCGTACCCGATTTTTCATGTCGCTGGAGGCAAGGGACACGCACCCGGTGGCTGGGAGAGCCGAGGGTTTCATCCAGCCCACGCTCCAACAGCCGAAGGCCGGTCCCTTTGGAGGGACGACTCCTGGCTGCTCGCTCAAAATGTCGGGGTGGCAAGTTGCCTGTGAGTCAGCCCGAGAGCCTCAGCTGAGGTAACACAGGCTGAACCCAAGCTTCAGGTAACACACGGCATCAGGTAAACCTAAGAGCCCATCCAGCCCAGCTGATGGCCGCGTCCTGCTGCCTACAGCCCCTCTCTGGGGTGAGGGTGCCGGACACGAGCAAAGCGAGGGAGCCGATGAAGGCACCGGGTGTTTGAGATGGTATTAGATCTATCCACGAGGTTACCTGTGTGGGAAATAACCCAACTACTGAATAATAAGATCCACACCCACCACATCCAGAGGCTGAATAAATTGGGAATAAGCAGATGATTTTGTGTTACCGTGAGGAACGTGGGCCTTAATCCACCACTGCCGGTGGTACAAAAGGGGTTGCAAACCTAAGGCCGTGAAGATGATGGTACCCACTGCTGGGTGGGCTGGAGCTTGCCACACACTGGGCATCCAGAGGTTGCCCTCAGGATCTCCTGGGGCTTACGGAGAAGGATGTGTTTGATAAACACAACATCGGGGGGAGATCGGTGTCCCTGGGGATGGCTCCTGCCCTGCCTTCTCCCTCCCTGCCAGGGACCGCAGCACCGCGCGGGAGCCCTCTGAATTCCCACCACAAGGATGCTGACCTGTAACGTGCGATGTAAGTGCTGCACGTTACGGTTGTTATATCAAGTTACTGCAAACATTAATTAAACAGTTCAAGCAAACACCTACCTATAAAGCCAAATCCCGCTGCCAGCTGCACTGGTGTAAGAGAGCTAAGCCACTCAGCATGGGGAGGCTGGTTACCCAGATAGCACGAAATAATTGAGGAGGGCATATCCAAGTGTCAAATCTGCTTAATCAACTCCCAGAGACCTTCTACCCTCTGTCCCCAACTCCAGCCCCTGCAGGTTAAGTAAAGCCAAAGGCTGGAGGCTTTGCTGGAGGGACTCTGTGTGCAAACCCGTGTGAAAAAGCCCATATAGGCTGAGGGGTGCTTTGTTTGGAGGACTTTTTGTTGCCTGCCTTAACCTGGCAGACAGTGGGAAGCAGACCAGTAAAAACTTGAGGGCTGAGGGTCCAGCCGTGCTGGTGCTGCAGCTCATCTTGCCAAAATAGAGCTGCCCCATCCCTGGAAACTTTCTGCGTCTAGGTCGGACTGGCCTCTGAGCAACCTCATCTAGTTGAAGATGTCCCTGCTCATTGCAAGGAGGGGGTGGACTAGGTGACCTCTAAATGTCCCTTCCAGCCCAAACCATTCTATGATTCTATGGCTGGATGTGATGGGAGAGTGTCCATCCCATACCTCCGGAGCATTTCGGACACCTATTCAGCAAAACAAAGCCTCTCCCCTCTTGATTTATCTCCTGTCTTTCGTTCACCTCCCCCAGTTCACGGGGATTTTGCTTTCAGCGCAGGGACTTTCGTGTTTCTGGGCCCTTCGAAGGTGTCCTGGTGCTGTAGAACCTTAGAGAGCGCTCACAGCATTCCCACCTCGCCCTTCAGCCGGCTGCTTCCAGCGAAGCTGCTGCCTGGTTTGAGTTGAGCATCTCCCTAACGAAGAGCTGGTGATGCCCCGTGCCTCGCCCGGTGGCAACGTGGTGCGGAGCATCTCTGCTCAGCTGCGGCGCTTGAGCAGTTGGGCTTCAGTCGTAGAATCATAGAACAGTAAGGGTTGGAAGTGACCTTAAAGATCATCTAGTTCCAGCCCCCCTTGCCATGAGCAGACTCAAAATGGTTTTGGCTTCTGCTGCCGAGCTTGGGGAGCCGCGTTAGAACCCAAGGGTTTGCTTTTAATTTCAGCCCTGTTAATGCAGATTACTGGGGGCTCCACGGAAGCCAGCGGACCGCTGGTTTGGAGATGCTCTGCGCAGAAGGCACAGGCCGAGGAGCTTGAGCCGGGTGAAGGCTGGGTGGCTTCTCCTGGCTGTACCGGTGGCTGTGGACACCAGGGAAGCCCCGGAGACCCCCAAGGCTGAAGCCTCAGGGGTGCGTGCTGCATGTCATGTGGTCTCTGCCCCCCGGGGTCAGGGGGTCTCCCCAAAATCTGGGCTTTTGCGAAGGGCCTTTTTCCCGCTGCCCCCTCCCAGGGCCGCGGTGTTGGTGGGGCGAGGGGTGGTCGAGACGAGAGCCCCGGGCTTTGCTGCAGCAGGCACCCCCTCCTCAGACTCCCGCCCCACGGA